ATCCATTTACATTTGCTTACATATATATATATATATATAACAACTTTCTAAATCCTCGTCTTACGAACATTTCTCTTAGTAATTTAAAAATAATTCAGTAGACGATAATATTTTATTTATGCTAACTGAATTTTTTCCGCTGGTTCTACTCGGTTTTCGTGTTTCGATACTATTCATCTGAAAAATGACACTTTTATCGCGGTCGCCATCACAACTCGGCCTTTTTGGCTGTGATAAAAGTGTAGTTTCTTTCTTGAAACTACATTTCATCTCGAGCCGGGGTATTTTTGAACCTGGCCCGAGTGCACGCGTTCGGAATCCCCACATTAAACTGACCTTGTGTCACATCCTGCCAGAGTCGGGCGGCAAGAAAATACAATCGCTTCCCAACCTTTTGGCTAACATCAGAGTGTAATATCCGTTCATATCAGTTGAATCTGATTCTCTCTCTCAGCTTGTATATTCCCTTAGTTCTTTCATTTTCTTCCTGAAACGAAGCAGTGTCTTTTCCCCTCTTTCCAGTTGATAAAAACTGAATAATCCATTATTTATGAAACAGTAGCCGGTGTAAAGGTCGTGTGACCTAACGAAGGTAGGGATAATCTCATATAACAGGATAACACATCTTAAAAGATACGTGGAAATTTAACGTACTTTCCAGGCTAGTAGAACTACTACTAAAAAGCACTCAATAGATATCTAGATCGATAATAGTCAATAAATCAAGAAATGTTCCATTGATCTCCTTAAACAAATCCATAGTTACGTGTCAAAACTCTAGCCATGGCCAGATGGTCGATAAATCTTCTGAAATTATTATCCTCATATTCATACTCTTCTGAAAAACTTTAAGTCATAACTTTAAATATTCAAATTAATAACGTAACGATAGTTTTATCTAATATCAGTTAAAACCATGTTGCTCTCATTCTGTATGCTTCAGTGTATAAACATCTCCCTTGGTGGGTATATACATTCGGATACTTACCGGTCACAGGGATCTTTCCTTGCGTTGATAGGATCATAGCTATGACTAGCTTGGACCGACTCTGACCCGCTTGGACCTGCTACGGCCAGCTAAGACCAGCTATGACTAGCTTAGACCAGCTCTGACCACCTTGGACAAGGTATGACCAGCTAAAACCAGCGGCCCGAGTGAAAACACTCAGATCCACATGTGAAAAACTGACGTTGAGTCACAACCTGATTCATTGGGGAGTCAAGTAAATCAACGTCTCATACAGTATGTTGTGAGTTTAATCCTTACTAGGGACCTGATTTGGAGGTCTGTGAAACTTAACGAAATTAAGCTGAACAAATTCGTTAAATTTTCTTCTGAGGAGTTTCTCGCATCAAACGAATTCTGACCATCTGAAAATCGTTTGAGGCGTGACAGTAGCAGTGTTGATTTCGATATATATATATATATATATATTTATCATCGCTTGAACTGGCTTCTAATGCTACAGTAGGTAGCGGCTTGGTCATAGTAGTCGTGGCTCCAGGGGGCACGATGGTAACAGCAAATCTCAGTCGAGTTCCGCCACGTGTGAGCTAACTGTAGGGTTTCAATTCTATAGTGGATGCGCACTGCTGATGAGTCCCAAATATAGGACACGGCCGTCCAGTGCTTTCTGCATTCTGTAGAGGTTTCTATCAGACTCGATGAATTAATTTATATATATATATATATATATATATATATATATATATATATATATATATATGACGATAGTAAAAATGTAGTTATTGCTTACGCGTTGCGTCCAATGTCTTTCGTCATCAATAACTACAGTTTTCCTATTGCCATTTGTATTTATAAATATTGCCTTTTCTACAGGTTAACTCTAAGAAATTTTTATATATATATATATATATATATATATATATATATATATATAAAGACAGATGTCATTAAATAATTTAGACAAGTTTTGTCTATTCATTTTTTATAGGATCCTCTCGTAATTACAGACAAGTTTCTTAGTATCCTTAATAAAGGAAGAAGAAAAATTATGATGTTGATGCATATTCATTTTATTCCAAGTACTTTCAGCTTTAGGAAAATGTTGTCATCAGGATCTTGTTTTGTTTTTTTTTTTAAGACAACAATCGTAATTTTCTTTCTTGCTTTAATAAGGATACTAAGAAAATTTCCGTAATTACGAGTGGATTCTATGAAAAATACGTAGACAAAATTTGTCTAAACTATTTAATGAGACATGTCTTAATGAAAATATGCTGCCAAAATATACGCAATATATATATATATATATATATATATATATATATATATATATATATATATATTCAGTTGTATGGATATGAGTTTGTAACCCTGGGTTTCACGCTTTTGGCGATCATTTTATACAAGAAAAAACTAAATAAAAGCACCTTGTCTTTCGTATTGAATGAAATGTGCATATATATATATATATATATATATATATATATGTGTGTGTGTGTGTGTGTGTGTGTGTGTGTGTGTGTGTGTGTGTATATGCGAGAGAGAGGGAGAGAATTAATATAAGTAAACGGTTTGTCACTTAGCTGATAGAAGTTGCTTTCAGCATTCCGTCTCCAGAGTTTCGTAGATAGACCTTTCGGAAATTACACCGTTCACTTTCCAGAGGTTATGAGCAATTGGCAGCTAGCTTATACTTCACGATTTCTCTTTTTCTATATATTTTTCCAGATGCAATTTTTACTCACAGTATATATATGTGTGTGTGTGTGTGTGTGTGTGTGTGTCTGTGCGCGCGCATGCACCCGTCTGATCGTATGTGCGTACGTGTAGAATGTCGTGATTATTTACCCTTTTCGTCGTTTGTTTTTCACTTTACCCACCCCCCACTCCTTCTCCTTTTGTCTCTTTTTCCTCTTTTCTGTCAGTTGTCAGCATTTGACTTCCTGTTTTCTAGTCGTGTTGTCGTTGTTGATTTTTGATCGTTATATATTAAATCACTTTCTAGGTCTGCTACTAAGAAGTTTGCTTCACCATGTCACACCAGACAATTATACCTCGCCAGAATTTATCTTCCACATGAATAACTCTAACATTCGTCCACGCATTGAATATTGCTACCATATCTGGTCTGGTGCTTCTGCTATGTATTTAAAGATCCTTGATAAAATCCAAAGAAGAATCTCAAATGTTATCGGCCCTACGATTTTTATTTAATTTTTCTTGTGATTGTACAAGTGTTTCCTTTTCTGCACACAAAGTGTGTAAAAACTGTAACAAAGGTTCATCATATCCGGGCGTTTTATGGCTATTCTTTTACTCATTATCAAGGATGATTTTTTTTTTGAATTATTATATATATATATATATATATATATATATATATATATATATATATATATATATATATATATATACTAGTAGAATGGCCCGGCGTTGCCCGTGCTTGATTCAAAAATCGTACGACTCATACAGCAATCGCTATCACTTGACTTAAAATATTTTTGCTTTTAATGATATTGCTACATGCCTTACTTCTTGCCTATCTCACACTGCGAATTTTTTCTAAGCTCTATACTAAACATTAAATCTGTTACGAAAAAAGAACTAAACAAAATGAACACAAAACGATCAGCTTTAAAAAGGACTCGTAACTGGAAAAATCGAATGAAAAAAGAATGTTAACAACAGATACTTTTTCACACTCATAACCCAGTTCTGCGGAATCAGAATCAACGTTGAGTTTAAGCAAGCGAATGTGCCAATTGGAGTAAAGTGCCATGCAGATTTAAATTTTTCCCACTTGTGACGAATGCACCTACCGATTTTTTTTGCATGCTAGTTAACATTCGTGTCAGTCAACTGTTGGCTCTCACGATGGCCAATAGAATCTTCCTGCCTATTCGTGGCAGCCAGCTATTGGCTCGCACTCTGGCCAGTACAATATGGCCGCAAACTACATGAAAATTGCCGTAGAAGCATGAAAAAATCGATTATTTCCACTATGGATGGGAGTTGGGAAATGCAAAGTCGGTCTTGGCCTTCGCGCTAACTTGGAGCATGTGCATGTAAATTTTGGTGCAAATCCGTTGAAAATTGCAGCCGTGTATTCGTTACACACGCACACATCCTGCCTTTCATATATATATATATATATATATATATATATATATATAATATTGTTAGAGCCGAAAACGCTCGGATAGGCACAAATTTTAGACAGTTTTTACTTTGTGTCCACAAAACAAAACACTTGTAAAAACACAAGAAAAATTAAAGAAAAAGCTTTATTGCAATATCTTGTCAGTGGTCTTTAACAAAAATTCCAAAAAGAGAGAACATGATTGCCCATTTATAGGCTTAAAGAGCACCCCAGGCTTGCGTTTTTGTCACAGTCAAGTAGAGTAAGCCAGAGATAGATAGATAGAGATGTCTATAAATACGAACAGACTAACATGTCTACTTACATTGCAGCCAAATCACCGTATGGCTTTAATTTGTCCAACAACCCGCCACCCATAGATATATGAATGTCCTATATATATATATATATATATAAAGAGAGAGAGAGAGAGATATGCGAAGAGGGATGTTTGCCTATACCCCCAACCTAATGATATTACATATATATATATATATATATATATATATATATATATATATATATATATATATATATATGTGTGTGTGTGTGTGTGTGTGTGTGTGTGTGTGTATACGTTGGTGAGTGGGTGTTTAGTTCTTAACTTTGTATATATATATATATATATATCTTTTTTAAATATTAGTGACAAATATATTAATAAAAGTGCTAGAGATGGAAAATTTGGAAGGCAAGAAACTCAAATATAAAATGATTAACGATGTTTTTGACAGATAAACTAGAAAAAAAACTGGTATAAATTGATCCCCATATTAATATTCGACAGGAAATTACGTTACATAATTTTGGCTCATTTTCATTAGGGGAAAAAAAATCTACAGACGCACTTGTATATCGTATCGTTTCATTTAGCTTTTACGCTACCTTTGATAGCTAGCTAGATATAAAGTAAATTAAATACAGAGAAACATAGTCTAAAATAGATAGATATGAAAAAAACTGAGAACGACAGATAGATAGATAGATAGATATGAACAGACTGGGATAGATAGATAGATAGATAGATAGATAGATAGATATGAACAGACTGGGATAGATAGATAGATAGATAGATAGATAGATAGATAGATAGATAGATAGAAATAAACAGATTGTGATGGATAAATTGCGGATACAGCTATCAAGAGAGACAGAGATAGATATGAAATAGCAAATACACACACACATACACACACACACATACACACACACACACACACACATATATATATATATATATATATATATATATATAGAGAGAGAGAGAGATAGATATAAAAGTGGATATTGAAGTTTCACTGAAGCCATTTTCATATATACTTTTATATATACATATATACTTTTTATATACCTGATATTAACAAGTTAAACCCATAAATATAGTATACCTTTACCTTTATACTATTTTAACATATATATATATATGTGTGTGTGTGACTGTGTGTGTGTGTGCGTGGGGGTCAACAATTCTTGAAACCGACAGCCAGACACCAGCATATATGATTCGATTATAGTGAAGACTTTGTGTAGAACCAACCACATTTTTTGAAGGGCTGAATCCAGAGACCTGGTGCACTACGTGCCACAAGGTCCCCAAATAACCTTCCGCTGGTTCTTGAATTCAGAGTTGTCCTTCTCCTAGACCACTTGCCATCCAAGGCTATAGAACCCAGTACTATTTACCCATAGAGGATTCATATTATATAATAGATTCGACTGAAATTCGAACTCGGCTCTCCGGACCCTCAGTTCGAGACGCTACCCACTACTCTACAGTCCCTATTTATAAACATACTTATTTCTATCTAAGGGTGCAAATCAAGTCTCTGAATCCCAGTCTGCTATTTATCCATAGATGGGGAGAGAAGAAATGGATTGATAACTAAGGATATTTTCACGTAAGTGAATGAAACAAATTTGAGTGACATCTGAACTCACCAAATGAATTTCTTTTTCTTCATTACACTACGATATATCCACATTAATATATACCTTCATCTTCATATATAGAGATGGTGAGATAACATAATTACTTTGCATATGCTTTTAATGTGTATATTTTAATTTTAAATTACGTAACGGTCAGTCTATACTCCGAATCTGAAGATTGCGTTGTGCATGAAGCTCAGAGTCGTGTTATTGCTGAGGCGTAATATGTATATCTATTAATATTTTTTCAAGACAATTCACTCCAAGCAAGGCGGGAGTGCCACTAGCACGCAAAGGGTTACAGAGGATTGAGAGCAAGAGCAAGAGAGACGCGTTTAAGGAAAAAAAAACACAGAGGAGGACAGGGAACAAGCCCAGCGTGTCAGATGTCGATTGACATTGCACTTGAATATTTGAAGATTATAGACATCGGGGAAACAACGAAGGGGAAGAGAGTCCCACAGACGGGAAGTGCAGGAGAAGAAGCTGGTTAAGAAGAGGTGACGGTTACATTTAACCGTTTTGACAGTAAAAGGGTGAGCCCGAGATGCCAACCTGGTAGCGCGTTTAAATTTATACAGTCCGGGAACCAGCAATAGTAGCTCGTCGGAGCAGCTGCAGTGAAAATGCTTTTAGAAGAGACAGAGGGATGCCACAGCACGTCTATCGGGTGGTGGTTGTACACTAGATGCCAGATGATTTTGCATATTCGTCTCTTGATTTTGTCAAGGACCTCGAGACGGACAGCGAGACACCAGACCATATATGACAGCAATATTCCATGTAAGGACGTATGGTTCATTTATCGATTTGAAGGATGGACTCTGACACGATACGGAGAGACAATTTTCCTTGCGGTAGATGAAGATCGAAAGCGTCATAGAAAAATAAGGTGGAAATTCTTCTTTAAACACAAGGATGAATATAACAACTTAAAAGATGTCGAGGTTTATGGATTTAAGTCCCAATAAACACCATCATGCGACGAACTATGATTTGACTTCAGGAAATCTCTATTCCTGCTAATAGAGAAAATTAATTTCGTTAAAACTACCAACGATCTTGATTCAATGTATTTATTCCACCTCATGTTAATGGACAGTGTGAGACCAAACAGGCTTAACGAGGCGCTCTCGAGGCGCTCTCAAGGAATTGGGTATCAGCCATTCTGATGGGAGGCAGGAAGGGTTCTTTGTAGTGGGTAAAGGAGAGCAGTTTTGTTTTGGAGGCATTAAATTTTACAAGCCATTTTCTGTATATTTAATAGCTCTCTTGTCTGACATGAAACACTGTTTTATTAACACCAATACTATACGTACGATAAATTAGAATTTTATTTCGCTTCTTTTAACTGAGTACTGTTACAACCGATATCGGAATATTAAACCTATTAACTTGAACTATTCCACTAAAAACATCATGGTTCCTGACAAGAGATCTTATAAGCTGAGTCTTTTAGACAAGATCGAAAGCGTCATAGAAAAATATGGTGGAAATTCTTCTTTAAACACAAGGATGGATATAACAACTAAAAAGATGACGAGGTTTATGGATTTAAGTCCCAATAAACACCATCATGCGACGAACTATGATTTGACTTCAAGAAATCTCTATTCCTGGTAATAGAGAAAATTAATTTCGTTAAAACTACCAACGATCTACAGCAAAACTATTGAAGGACGTTTCTATGATCAAATATCCGACAAAATAATTATCAAAGCAGATAAGACGGGTAACTATTACCAAATCGATCCGGATATCTACCACAGAGATATTAACAAGGAAATTATTAAAATTTTATAAAAAGGCACCCAACAACATCAATAGTGAAGCCAAGAAAATAGCCACTGAACTAAAAATTGATGATACAGATTACAAATTCCACAAAAAAAATATCAAGCATTCATCACAGTTAAAGACGAAAGGTAAATTTTCCAAACAAAACTCAATAGCGACTACTCAACCCAAAGAAAAATAATATCGGTAAAATTTGCAAAAACATCCATGAAAGCGTATGAAAATACAAGAAAATAGGAATTAACGAGTAGCATCAAAAAGCAGAAGCCATAGAATGATTTACCAATATAAAAAGGAAGAATGAATGGATTTCATCCGATCACCAAAAATCTGCTTATAGTCTAGCAAAAAATTACTCTCCTATTTTCGATCGCGAAATAAATATCATAAAGCAGACGCAAAAACCCATATTATTCAATAATGTTTATCTGTGAACTAAAAGAAGTAACCCGAAATTTATTATTGCTATGGGAGCATCTGATTCAGCGGAGGCATGCGAACTTCTTGGAATCTTGTTATTCCAGCGACTAAGATTTGTTTTCGACATTACGGACACCGAACTCTAGAGAGATCACGGTGTCATTTTCCTCCGTAATGTCTAGGAAATTTTGACCGATTGAAAAACGAACTGATAATTTTTTTTAAAGATCACGATGACCACTACCACCAATGCAAAGTTGATCACCTTTCTTGATGTGACCTTAGATTTGAATAAAGGTTATTAAAAGCCATATACCAAAGATCTGTATAACTATAGATAGGTAAAGAATCAAAAAACCAAATAAAATTCTACATAATTTACATAAATCATATTATATACTTCTTTTAGCAATAAAGAAATATTTGATAATAATAAAATTAAATATATAAATGTTTTAGAACTAATACTCTAATGAATTTAGAGTATTTAGAAAAAAAGATAAAAAATAAACAAACACCATAAGAGTAACATTATATGGTTTAATCCGACTTTTGATCCTAATGCTAAAATTTATATCGGAAGAAATTTCTTAAATTGAATTCATAAACACTTTAGCCATTCACCAACACTAAAAAAGATTTTTAACAAAAATGTTAAGATCAAGTATAGCTGCGTTGATAACAGATATCTATAACCCAACATAACAATATTATATTAAATAAATATATTTCAGACAAGGCACAACGTTATTTTTTTTAAATAAACGCAACAGCCAAAAGTATATGTCCTTTAAACGGTCAATGTATAACTGATAATATTGTATATCGAGCAAGCATACATTCCGGTAACGACATTAAATTTTATTTTGGTTCCACTTAAATCCTTGGAAATTTCGTTTATACATTATACAACGGCTTCCCATACTTAATACTTCTCGTTTTCACTGTCGCATGGTCATGTGTGACGCCACGAGCTGAGATGCGATTTTTCGCTTCCGCGTCTCGTATACACGAGTTTGTCGCTGCTTTGAAATTTTTCATGCAACAAAAACAGACTATCATTATTGTTTCCTCTGTGTATTGGTTGATATATTGAAATGTAATTGTCATATTTGATAATGGCTTATGTAAGCCGAAAGCGTAGATTGGATTTAAACATGTATCAATATGGTGATTTCTTTTCGTCGTTCAATGATAATGTTATTAAGCTTATCAGACAATATGAAAGGAACTTACTTAAAATAAATAGACAAAACTTGTCTATATTACTTAATGAAACATGCATCAATGAAAAATTGCTGCCTAAATATACACAATATATATATATATATATATATATATATATATATAATATATATATATATATATATATATATATATCAGATCAAATTGTGGGAAGAAGCCTATTTTTTCTAAGTGCACGTTTTTTTGCGGTAGTTTTTTTCTATATTTTCAGGCTTTATTGCGGAAATACATCGCAGTACGCGTGACCATGATGCAAGTGGTTCAATTTTTCTCAAAGCTGAATTGTCAGATCTGAAAGTAAATGTCCCAGTTTAATGTCGATGAGCGAAATAGGTCAATATATTAATACGTTATTGCGATGATCTGATTGGCTGGTTTTCTGTGTTTGGGGCAAAAGATCAGGAACATCTGATCACCAAACTGGCAATATGAGCGTGGCTTCTTTTGAAATTTCTCCATCAACTGGAGTTTTCAACTACTCGAAAGAATGTGATCCAATCGCTATAGAGGCAGATATTTTGTTTGAATTTGAGCTTTTATCAATCAGTTCTTTTTAATTGCCTTTTCCTACAAATAATCGATATCGTAAGCCGGGTTGTTATTGATAGAAGCAAGTTCTAAGAAGGAAAAACAAAAACAGGGAAATTAGTTTTTCTAGAAACAAGAAGCGATATAGAAATTAACGTAGGACAAACGTGAGATTGATTGAAAGAAAAAGATAGAAATACCCACATACTAAGAGAGTGGTGAAATGCATTATGAAAAGAAAGGTGAAGTGAATAGCCAATAGAAGGAGTGGGCGTCAGTCTAACACGTCTCTCTGGAAGAGAGAGTGACAAAGAAAGAGAATAGATTTCAACGGTTAGAAAATGCCAAAAGGAAGAGAGAATTACAGATGAAACAATATGGAAAGAGAGACGCAAAGAAGTGAGAGAGACTAATAAGCAACAAACATATGAAAAGGCGTTGATAAAAGAGAGACTAAGCAGAAAAGAAAGTATAAGAAATAAATAGTGGGTGGAATATGATGTAAATCCGTCCTGATGGTGCATCACCTTGCCGTGGTAGGACGGCTTGCGTACTTCAACGACCCCCACAGCTATGTGGGCGGGGGCTTCGACTCTTAGCAGATCCAACCAAGCTCAACAAGTTTGTGGGTTAGGAGCCAGATGAAAGACACACTCTGGTCCTCCAGGTTGGTTGTGGTGCAGTAGGCTAACAACCTAGTCATAAACTGTTACAGAAATCTAAATATCTTCAAACAACGACATGGCTGAGGAAGCGTCCTCTTTAGTGGAGCGTATGACGCGTGCTGGTGAAAATTCCCCCGGGAGAGCAGCCGGCATGACATGGGCAGAGCTGAAGAGGATCGTCCGCAACCGCGTCCGTTGGAGAGATGTTGTTGCGGCCCTACGTTGCCCAAGAAATTAATAGGCATAATGAATGAATATTTGTTAAATCCAACATCATTCATGATCGAAATATACCCAATAGAGCTGCTAAATTACTCAAATACCCCAGAACAGATGTGACAGCAATGTTTAATACATAGTTCAATGGCCGACTCCGTCTTGATCGTGTGTCGCAGGTCCAACCAAACTCAATAGGCCTAGGGTAGGAGCCTGACGAAAGACACCCTAATTATCCAGGTTGGGGGTTGTGCAGTAGACTGACAACCTATTCACTTGAAAACTTGCTTTTTTCAGACACCTTGATATCTTCAAACAACGACATGGCTGAGGAAGAGTTCTCTAAAGTGGAGCGTATGGCGTGTGCTGGTGAAAATTCCCCGGGAAGGCATCCGGCACGACATGGGCTGAGCTGAAGTGGATCGCCCGCAACCGCTTCCGTTAGAGAGGTGTTGTTGCGGCCCTATGTCTCCCAAGGAAACAAGAGGCATAATGAATAATATATTATATGGTGCATATAAAGTGATTTAAATTTGCAAAGGGTCGGCTTTAAACAGTAAACATTATGGAAAGAACCAGCAAATGAAAGACCCGGTAAATAAACAAAAGGGTATATAATGGTTAAATAAAAGACGTAAGAGAAAGACATTATATGTGTGTGTTAGTGTGTGTGTGTGTGGCGGAGATGCTATGTGTATGCAAATGTGTAACTCATAAAGGTGGAGGGTCAAGGAGGAAACAGTAAATGCCGTAGATGTTTACCTCTGTTGTGAACAGGTATTGAACTCACAATTATTTGAGCCAAGTTACCAGTGAATAAAAGCGTTGGTTGAAGTAATCCAATGACTTGACTTAAAGAGTTGCGAGTTCAATTCCAGGCCACAGAAGCCGTGAACAAAAACTTGGAGAGTACAAAAAGGAAATTTAGATATCTGGAAACTGAGATATTCGGAAGAGGCATGGCACGTGTAACTAGAACTGTCAACACCGGTGGACGAAGTAAAAGGTTCAGTTCGAAATTTCAATCACCTAAACAAGTCCGCAATGTGCAGCGGTCGAAACGCCGTGGATATGACAACAACGATGAGGGCAAGAACCCGAACAATGTAAATAGTGTAACAAAATCATGAAAAATGGCGAAAAGAAAGCAAAGAGTTAATATGGGAAGAAAGAAAAGGAAATATTTTTTTTGTTTTCTTTTTCTTCGGCGGATGATTAAAATGAATGAAAATGGGGATAAGTGTAAGCCAAGCACGCCGCCATATTCCTGATCAGTTGGAAATTTTGGCTGCGTTTGCTTCCTTTTAATGGAAGAGCGCTCATTGCTGGTGAACCGGAAGTCATCCGGGATTGGACAATGAATTGCCAAGAAGAGTCGCATGGTGTGTAGTTTGAAAAATGGAAAAAAAATTGTAGCTGACGGAAGTTACACAAGTCGATACCCGGTCAGTATCGGCTGGGTTACCGTGGAGAGAGGGGGGTATGATGGGTGAGAGACCCGAAACCCCTAATGAACCTCGGCTAGAAACATCACTGATGATGTGTAATAAAACATCCAATAGATGTATATTACGAAAAAGATAAATAGAGAGTTGAGGTACGAAAAGGAAATTTAGATATCTGGAAACTGAGATATTCGGAAGAGGCATGGCACGTGTAACGAGAACAGTCTACCCCGATAGACGAAATAAAGGGTTCAGTTCGAAATTCCAATCACCTAAACAAGTCCGCAATGTGCAGCGGTCGAAACGCCGTGGATATGACAACAACGATGAGGGCAAGAACCCGAACAATGTAAATAGTGTAACAAAATCATGAAAAATGGCGAAAAAAAAGCAAAGAGTTAAACAGAATGTAAGGAAAGAGAAGAGAAAGAGAGAAAGGATGGAAAGGAAAAGAGTAATAAACAAAGAAAAAGAGAGAAGAGAAGGAAGTGAATAAAGGGATAGCTGAGAAGACGTTCACTTTATCGACTGACCACTAATTATCGGGTGGTTTAATATTTATGCTATCCACTCGGAGAATATAACCGTGGTAACAAACTAATTCATCTCAGTGACCTAATGTGAATGATAAGGGTCGATGTTGTTGGAAATTAGAATTAATATTGGCTCGTAATGTCTTTGATACTTCATTGTAAATTCGCTGATATTCTAAGCCTTGATAGTTATGCAACAAATACGACGAAACTTTTATATCTAGTCTCACTTCGAGAAGTCGGTGATCATAGCTCTCCACAACATCCTATCCTCTGTAACCCAGTAGGTTATTTTTCCTTTTCGTATCATAGCACCCTCTTCTGTCATTCATTTCTAAAAGCTCGTTTCACTTTGACTTCCTTGACTTCAATATATCCTGTGAGTGTCAAATTCTCCAAGCCCTCTTCTCTGAAGGTTTTCTATCCCAGAAAATACAAATATCTCTTTCTGATTCTAATTATAAGTATCGTTTTGTCTTAAAAGTTCCTTCGTGCATGGTATTCTCAGCAGCCTTCTGTAGAACATTATTGTCTCATATTTTCTCTTCATCTATGGGCATTGATATTACATAACAGTTCAGCAATCTTGTCATTGTTTCGAAGAAAATTATCTCGATTCTTAAATTTTTAAAATCATTTCACTCCAAGCAAGGCGATAATGCCAGTAAGACGCATATGGTTATAGGGAACGAAAAAGAATGAGTTTAGTGAGATGTGAGCAAGAGAAAAAAAGGAACAGGGTTCAGGAAGACAGAAAATGGCGATTGACATTGCATTTAAAATTTTGAAGATTATAGGGGCAAGAGGTCGGAAATGAATTTCTTATGTGGGAATTATTAGAACATAGGTTGTGGTTGCATCTAGCTAGATCATCAGTAAAACATGAGACCTAATTGCCAATCTAGTATCACGCTTAAATTAATGAAGTTGAGGCAACAGAGAAAAAAAGAGTGTCGCTTGAGCGTGTGTCCTACCGATCAGTTTCTTCTTTAGTGTGCATCCTACCACCACATTTGTATCCTACATTATCAAGGCATTATAAATATATTTTACCAATCAGTTTCTGTTTTAGTGTGTATCCTACCACGATATATTGGTATCCTATATTATTAAGGCATTAGTCAAATTTCTTATTTTATATAATTTTTATTTTAAATTTTATAATACAACAATACATGTCATCTCGAATTCCTTTTTTGCTTTTCCCTTTACGTTAGATTATGTACGACACAAAGGCGATTGTAGGATACACTGATCGGTTCGACACACGCTAAAGCGGCACTGAAGAGTTCCACAGAAAAGTTTCCATGAAAATATTTGTAAAAAAAGAGAGAGAGAAGCCACGTGGCACCGGTGTGAAAGTGACTGAAGTCAATATGCCAGGTCAGGATCGATTAGATAACATTTTGTTTAGCTTTTCGAACGATTCTTACGCTATTTTAATTCTTTGGATTTTTGCGTCACTTTTTCCATAGCTTGCGAAAACACTTCCCATTTCTATAGTTGCTTGGTTTCGACATCCCCAATTCGTAACACGCATCTTGTGTCGACCATCTTGATAACAAGTATTCATTCTGTCTTCTTACACTTGATACTTCCGTTCGTTCTTTTTTCTCACTTTACTACGCTGTCTACGAGTTCCTATATTGTAGTTTAAGGAACTAAAGCAAATATTTTCGCTAACAAAGACACGGCTGTCATCTAGAAATAACATGATAAATAAACATCAAGCGGAAAGCCAACCATCCAACACTGGGTATCTTGAAACAGTCATTTGAAAAATATTAACCCAGACTTGATAATCAATGGGCTGTTAGGCAATCGATAAAGAGTAATCTTATAAATATGTCAGTATGGAGAAATTACTGCACTTTGAAATTTTTGTACTAATATTTTTCTAAAGTTTTACCACTCAATTATGCATCAAATTAAAGAAAGAAATATATATGATTGCACAGGCATGAAGTTATGGCGCTGGTATGAATATATACTGAAGTATTAATCATACCATTCTCAATGAAATGATCTTGAAAGAAAGGCATTACATGTCACGGTAGAAATTTATTAAATATCTATCCCGTAAACTATTTATATTATTTACATGTTTCGGACTCTTGAACTCATCTGTACTGTCACATTCACGACTTTCGGCCGCTGTACTTCCCGGCCTTCTTCAGGAATTCTCTATATTTCTGAGAGGTCGTCTTGTAACTATTTACACTATTTACATTGTTCGGGCTGTTGTCCTCGTCTTTACTGTCACATTCACGACATTTCTGACGTTGTACGCTCCGGCCTCCTTCAGGATTTGTCTATGTTTCTGAGCTGAGATCTTGTAACTATTTACACTATTTACATCGTTCGAAATGTTTTCCTCGTCGTTACTGTCACATTCACGACGTTTCGGCCGTTGTACGCCCCGGCCTTCTTCAAGATCTGTCTATATTTCTCAGCTGAGTTCTTGTAACTATTTACATTTTTCGGACTGTTGTCCTCATCTTTACTGTCACATTCATGACGTTTCGGCCGCTGTACGCTCCGTCCTTCTTCAGGTGATATTTGTTGGAATTTCAAATCAAATTTAGCCCACGGGTGTGGGTATATTCACGTACCATACCTCTACATATCTCAGTTTTAGTTAATTCGCCCTGTTAATTCTCTAAGTTTTTGTTCTCTACGCTGAGAATCGAACTCACAACTTTTAAGATCACTCAATCAACCAAACGACCAAACAACCAATGAAATTTTTTATCCACTCGGCCATCTGTCATTGGAGACATTAGTGAGTGAAGTTTTGGGACTTATAAACAAAATGTCTCAGTAACCATTTTTTACTAGAGCTGATACCACATTTTTTCTATAATTTTTCACCTCGTTTGATATTAGCGTTTTTCTATAGCTCTCTGTTTTAATGGCACCCATAGTGTATTCATTTCTATGCTTGGCCGCTTTAGGATATTTTTGTAACCTAGCATATACGCTGTTTCTTTAGGTTTTCCTATTTTATAGTGATGTTTTCTGTCTATTATTTCAACTTCATCCGACAAAGGGTGGTCTCCCATTTCTTTCGATATGTGGTCAACCATGCCAGATTTTTCTATTTCCCCGCGTGTTACGGCCTTAGGGTTCCCTGCAATCTTAACTCAAGTGGTCGGCATGTTTCTCCTTTATATTTCTTGCCACAGTTGCACGACCAATATAAATGGTGTAAATAGTAACAATACCTCATCTCAAAAATACAGACATATGTTATTCTGTTAAGTATAAAATAAGAAATAAAAGTTTGTTTTTGGAAAATATATGCTTTCCTTAGCAACACACCCTCTAATCCAAATTTAGACATTTTTAGAACAAAGAAAATTTCTTGAGCTGCCGAAGAAGGGTTTTTAGGGGTGTAGCTCTACACGAATATTAAAGAAAAGAGAAAATATAGGTGTTGTGGTACGATCCACCTAATTTACATAGTGGAGTACCGACCATATAAATATGGGTTGGTACCGGAAGACGAGGGAAGATTAAAAGATGCAATCCAGAGACTCTGCCCGACTGCGATTTAGTCAACCCATTCTACAGGAACAGTCTTCCCAAGAATATACCAAAACTAACTGTAAATATTGTGTACCTTTTCCTTGTTTCAATACATTTTGTTTACGTACATTTTGTGTTGTATTATTATTCCATGCTTATCCAAGTTTCAACAATAGGTTTTAGAGATATCATACAGCAGATGATGTTACAACGTATATCCACTCCAGCGAGTATGTTTGTGATAATGCAGATGTGACAGTAAAATTAATATTAACTAATGACTAAAATTTTAATTCATTGATTGATTGTATTTCTAGGGATTATCCACCATTTGCAGGTTATTTAAAGCCATAACATATTTTTAGATTGTAAGAAATTTTTATGGAGATAATAATAGTTTAGTGATAGTTTACTAATTAACCCATACCTGGGGGAAATGGATTCAATCAACGGTATTTGCGCGTAAGGGAATATAACGAAACTGGCTGGAATTAAAACCCAGCTCTCTGATTAACTATTCTGATCCATTTTGCATTACACCAACTGCATATCCAAGTTTACAGCACGTGGCATTCTCAAGCGGTCGGTCATTTAGGTACTGACAAGGCTCGTTGTTGCTTAACTTCGATGATCGTACGGACATCGGTATTTCTAGGTAATGTGGTCGTAAGCATTGTGAAAAACACCAAATAGACCACGTACTCTTCACATTGGATCCGGTGCTCCTTCTATATATTTAGAGATTCTTGATAAAATCCAAAGAAAAATCTGCAAAGTTATTGGTCTCGCTTTCGGACACTTCCCCATCGCCGCATGTAGGCTTTTCTCTGTCTTTTTTCTAAGTACCTTCACGGTAATTGTTCTGATGAAATTCTATCTATGGTACCTAGACTTTATAAATTACGAGATTAGCGATAAGGTTTCATCATTTTACTGCTGAAATTGCTAGATGTGACCGTAAGTTCTCTGCTAAGAGTTTCTTTTCTGGCACTTCTCCCTTGTGGAATTCTCTTGCGATTTCTTGTTTCTCGGTCAATTTTAATTTTCAAAAATATATAACTAATATCAGTTGTTATTTTCTGTCTTCTTAATTCTTGTTCTTTTTTTGTTTTCTCTCCTTAATAAGGTGTTTGTTTTCTTATATTCTCTAATGCACAATAATTCCAAGAGTCTTTATCACCTTGCATGAGGTGAATTGATTAAAATAATCTTATGATTAGTCTGTAAATTGCATTGTATTTCTTCTAACACCTATTATTTTGTGAAACATTGACTTGTAAAATAAAATCTAAAATTGTCTCCGGTTATTATATAACCATTTAGCAATCATTATCAGATTATATGATTTGGGTATGAACTGTTTATACACGAAACAAATACTTCTATTAGATATTTATCTAATTCGGATTTTCCTATCGATTTTCTCTTGTTGGCTAACTGGACTCCGATCAGACTTCCTTTGACTCACTGAATATATGCGTGAAAGGATAGCTAAAAGCAACAAGACCATTTATCTGGCACGAAAGTGAAAATTCACCCTTCTGTCCCTCAAGCGAATTCGGCCAACCTCATCTACACTTCAGCATTTTTTCTAAGGCGGAATAATATCTTTCTTACACTATTCGAATAAAATAGCTAGAAGATGATTGAATGAAGTTGTTTTATGGACATAAGTGTAGGAAGGAAGAACTGAATATTATGACAATATATATCATAGATAACGATTGTTGTAGTCGTTAAACCTCTACCTACAGGTTTTCATTTATTATTTTTACGGTTTATCAACCTTTTTAAGGTTATTTAAAACCGAAATATATTTTGTGAATTAAGAATTTTTGGGGGGAGATGACAATAATTTGATGATACAAGTTTTATTATTTAACCCCTGGTTGGAAGGAGAAAAAGCAGATTCATACATTTTCCCAATGGTAACACGTAAGTGAATTTAATGAATTCGATTGGAATTCGAACCCGACCCTCCGATTTCCAATTCCGGAGCTTTATCCAATACGCCACCCGCACATTCAAGCTTACAGCACTTGTTATTGACGAGTGGTCACTCATCTAGTTACTGACCATTTTGAACATTGATTAAATTCGGTGATCGAGTGAGAACCAGGGTTTCAGCGTGATATGGCTCTGAGCCCTAGTGACCAAGGAAACATCGACTTGGGAGACTGTTCCTCTTGGGAAGAAGTCGTCTGAATTAAACATCTTTCTTATCAATGGAAAAGGAAGGGAATAAGGTTGATTTGGGTTTGTGTACATGGCATGAAACGTCTTACTTGTAAATGTCTGAAGTGATAACACTAAGAAATGTAGCTTATATGCCACGGAATTATCAAGTCTAGCGAGTTGCTTGCGGTGTTACGTCTGGGGAAAAGGGGCTGTCGTATAGGAAATGACTCAAAACCCACGTAGACGCTTTCGAACTCCGTCTAGGCGAGTCCATTTTGGTTTGATCTACCTCTTGTAAAGATGGAGCATCGCACGTGGAGTTAAGGACTTTCTGAAGCGATATAAGGGGAAACCATTTTTCCAGTATATTCTGATAGATTCCAGTCGAAACGTAGTTAATGGTAATACATTCGATACACACAGGAACATAAATACATAAAAAAAAAAAACATAAATGCAAGCATGAATTTTGATCTGAATTTTTTATGTATATATTTTTAATGTAGGAGTTATATAACTAATAGAGAAATTTTGAATTAAGTTCATTCACTAGAAAGCAAATTATATCAAAACGTGTCTTTATTGTGGAAACTAAAAACGTTGCTTATCTTACTGAAGTACTTATATATATATATATATATATATATATATATATATATATATATATACCAAATTCATTAGTCATACATAGAAATAAGTTCAATCACAGCCCGACATAAAGAATACCACACTCATAAAAAGAGAAGTTAATCGTTGATAGTACCGCAGTTGAATCTTCTTTTATGTGTCGTGTCCCTCCAGGACGCAGGCAATCATTGTCATCCACATCTTTCTGTCTCTTTCAACTCTTAATAAGTTTTGTATTTTTGTTATTTCTCCAAAGCCCTGTCTCCACCATCCATTTACTCAAGTTTTCCTCTGTCCCTCTTTCCCTCATTCTGTCCTGAGTGTATTAGATTTTCCAAGCATTCCTTCCTCATTACAGGACCCAGAACTTTCATCTGCCACTTCCAACTTACCAAAGTGTATCTCCTTTCCTAAAAGAAATACTTCTTTCCCAAACAATCATATATGAACTTAAATTAAAAAGTAAATAAAACAGTAAATAATAATTACATATAAACAATTGATGAACAACAATAAAAAAATATTTGTACACTTTCGTTTATTAGGCATGAAATTATATGTCTCAGCAGGGGGCATAGTATACTTTGACTTTCAGTTAATGCAGGGTACTTTTATCAACGTCTTACATTGAAGCATTTTGAAACATAACACCAGTTTTACTTCTGTTTATAAATACCAGTTGCAAAAATAAATAAAAAATCATCCATTT